CATCTTCCATCACCCCTCCATTTCGGCCCGGTAAAGCACGTCATGTGGAGTACTTGTCTGTCATGTTAATCAATGAGAACTGTTCTGTTCACCGTCTACGTATGTTTTCTCTGTCATCGTATGGACGTACGTCCATCACCGTCAAAATAGGGTGATGGACTGCTAATAAAATTTGGGATAACCCAGGCTGGGATACACCGGACCCGACCTTTAAAACGGGCAAAAAGAAGGATACATTTGTCGGCAGCATAATTAGGAGTCTTGCAAACCAAACAGACGTCAGCTCTGTGCTATGAGGTAATCGGCCTACAAATCTGGGCTTTGGAGGACGCAGCCCGATTTAAAATTCAGCCAATGGGTAAACATTCTTGTGCCCCAGGGAGGAAATACGTCACCAATCCGACGAACAATGAAACAACACTTAATAGTCATTAAAGGTTAAATATTTATCTTGCACATCTAAAAAATACATATCAATATATTTTGAAATATTTTAAATTTAAATAATATAATTTTTTTTTTTTTATGTCTTAATCAGGGTCACGGAGTGGGTGGGGCGGCGCCCTAGTGCCCTCTATTGGCCAGCTGCTACTGCTTCATGGTGTAAAGATGAATTGCTTCTTTTATTAGTTAGTGCTGATTTGCAGCCAAAACCTCTTTATTTTGAAAATTGTCTGCATCTTTGGATGTATGGCTGGAATTAATACAAGTTTATATGATAAAACATAGCTGCAGGAATGAAGGATCTGAAAGAATCATTTTAATATATAAAGATCTGATTCCAAAAATTATTTATAGGATGACGCTGCTCTTTTTTTTTTGTTTTTTTTATACTTACTGGCTTGGTTAACTTCAGTCTCTTTTTAGCAATTTCCAAAAATGCCCTGCACATTTAAAATGTATTAGGGTTTCCCAGTCAACCTGAAGTAACCCTTAAGGTCTCCATCATAGTGATGCTTTGGGCGGGTTAGACAGAAAGATATTCACAGAGGGACTTCACGCTGAGAGCAATGAAGTGAAGGTGTCCGGTTCTGTTTGTCTGCCTGACAGCGGACTCCTTCATACCTTCAGGTCAAAGAGTAACAGATGACCTCTCTATCCAATGACCCCCAAGGAAACACACACAGCAGCCGTTTAATCTGACCCTTAATGTTTTATAATGTTGAAATGAAGGATTTCGTCCAATTTCACCTTTAGCTGTAATGACAGCTTTGGGTCAGTTTTTAAGAGGATATTAGCCTATTTCAAAAACTAATTAATCACTTTCCATTCACTGCTCTGAAAACAGCCCTCTGTCCACATAGGGGTCAGAGGATCAAAGGTGACCTCTGGAAGGAAATACACTTTTAACTGTGACCCCCAACTTGGGTAGAGATCCTCAGAGAGTTGTGGTTTGGATCAGAGCAGGGACCAGTTGCTTGACTCACTTCAGGAATGAGAGGAGATATTGTTAAGGATCATTAGAGCGGAATGTGGGGTGATTCTGTTTAACACCATGTATATTTTCCAGTAGTTCATGCTGTATTGCATGTAAAAAATGAAAGGTGAAATAAAGCAAACAACTTGGAACCTATTTAAAACATAGACCTCCATCTTTCAGTTTGCCAGATTTCATTTGCTAACAAATAAGTGGTTTATATTTATATTTATGCATGAGGCATTTTAAGAAATTACTTAAAATGGTTATTATTCAAAAGTATCAGGATGAAGAGGGGTGATGAATTTGGCTGGGAATTACAGCACTGCTGATGACTTGGGAAATTGGGTGCAGGTTTATGTATGTGTGTGTAAATATGTGTGGGTGTTAAAACAGGTATTTATCATTTATGCATACATATACAGGTAGATGCGTATGCATATATACATATGGATGTAAGTATTATTTTCCTCTGGTTCAGGAAATATTGATATAGTTATTATTATTGTTGCAGAAGAGATTTTTAATCTCAATGGGGTATTACCTGGGTAAATAAAGGATAAATAAATAAAAAAGAAACATATATGTTTTTTCCTCCTTTTGGAAAGGATACTGGAAACAAGAAGACTATTCATGCTATGAATTAATGCATGGAAATGGGGTATGACAGAATTACCTCTGATGACACATGCATTCAGGAGAACAACCATGCATACACAATTATACCTAAGTTAAGGTATCTGTAGTACACCTGAGGAGAACATCTAAAATCATAAAGAAATACCCTCAGCCAGGACTGGAACCCAGGACTTTTTTTCTTGCAAGGCAAAGCTCTGCTCTGAATCCCGTAGATACTTACCAAGTCAGTTTTACGTACATAGAGGGTACTCTACCTGAGGTTCTTTGTTCCCTTCTGTTTGAGTTAAGATGAAATGAGGACATTTCACCTACCTTTTTTGCTCCAGTGGGCTCTGCTCTGTGATTAACCTATAAGGAACCTGCCTCCTTGTCCAGGCTGCAACTTGCTTTTCACCTCTAGACTGAAAAAGCCCAAATTGAAAATAGAATTAAGCAAGGACAGAAGATGGATGAATGAAAGAAGTATGTTTTACATCCAGCTGACCTGTGCTGTGCTTATTCTTGTTTATTATTCTTTATGTAGATTGGAAGGGAGACCTTAAGGAAGCACTTGACCTTCTCATTAAGGGTCAACAGTCTGGTCCTTTGGGATTGTAAAGCTCTGAAGCACCAATCTACCATTCTGTTGAAGGCAGAGCATGTTTGCTTCCACCGAAGCAGAACCAACATGGACCTCTGACCATTTGGGCCATTATGCGATTAAAATAGACAGTTTTAGCAAATAGAGGAAAATGTTAGGTCAAACTTTTGGCTGAACCCTCTGGTTTATATAGCAGAACCTTTGAGCTTCAATAGCCTCAGTCAGCTGATGAACATGAGATTTTCTGTTATCTGAGCTCGCAAGACTGCTGAGGGCAGAAACTGAGACATGACACTGTTTCCCTGGAAACCTGATGACATGGCTCCCTGCTTCTAATAACACTGATAAGCAAAAATATGATAGTCCCAGAAACAATAATCTAACTGCATAATCTTAAAACGAGAAAATCTGGTTCAATGGCCAGTCTGCTTCTTAGAGCTCTTGGATCGATTACATGCACAAGTAAGGTATATCAGGTATTAAATGAAATTTTACAAATATACGATGGCGACCCGCAGTTGACCTAAGCATTAAATCCAAATGACAGTGGGACACAGTACCTATAGGCTCATATCCCGACCACCTATAAACTAAACAGACAGTTATTGATTCCCACCTTCTCCCCACAGCGGAGCTTCGACCGGTTGAGATTGCAATATTAATGGATCAGGAGGGAGTTGTGCATGCCTGTGTGTGTGATCATTTGGGCCTGAGCTTGTACCTCATGACGGTGACTCCATTAACCAGCATGGCCGGAGCGGTCAGTGGTTTATTGCAGCCTGGTTCACAGGTCAAAGGATGGAACTGTGAGGTCAGGGAGGCTCCCATGAATTAAATGCTTCCTGGTTAGGAAAGCTACAGTCTTACATCAACTTTAAACCAACCTGCATTCAGCTTTGTGACCTCTTAACGGTAATCCTGTGAAAAATACATCCTGTTTAAGTAATCGAGGAGGTATGCACAGTTATCAATTTTTTTGTTTGATTTAGGCTATTTTAGCTCATCCATTAAAAGTGTATTAACATAGCCACGCCCCTTGATAAATAAAAAACATTTATACAACCAAAGGGGTCAGTATCAAGAGATTCTGAAGGACGGGGATAAGTGTGACCAGGGGATGGATAAGGACATGGCGGCTAGCTCAGCTTAGCCATATTTAAGCTCATTCTGACTTTACAATGCCATTGTACTACAACCTGGTGTAATAACTCTGCAATAACTTATACTATTTATCTATTTAACAAACCATAAATTGCACTTTACCTGCCACCACTTTACTGTACATAAGATGCTGTGTATATATGTCACCTTAAATCTCTCCTTTGTTTTCCCCATCCACTGCATATATCTGGATGCACTAAATGAACTTAATGCACCTTTTCCTCCTTTGTGCACCTCCTGTTGTTTATAAGGGATGATATCACCAAGTGGATTCTCCATTGTGAGATCAATAAAGTTTTATTCTATTCTATTTTATTCTATTCTATTCCATTCATGGACAGTTAGCAGAGGGATGCTGGTAGTTATATCTTTTAAAATGGAAGATTTTTTTCATCCTCCATCACTGACTGAACAAATAGACATTAATCCATGAAATGTTTGCTGCTTGCTGAGCTTTAGCAAACTTCTACCCAAAGGGTACTATGAAAATATACAAAGTTTAAAAATTGAGTTATCTACTTAATAATCATCCATTATGGTATTTAGATTCATTTCCCCAGTTCATTATTTTTATAATGCTATTTTCACTATTTTTTATTTTCACTGCAGGTTATGTGACTCTTTAAAGGTAAGGGAGACATTACAGACAATAAATACCTCAGAATGCTAGTAAAGGACTTATAGTTATAGGTGAGGGTAAAGGTAACAGAGATATAAGCTTAGTACATTCACAAGTGCAATATTCTTAAGAAATGTTCCTTATCTCTTAATTTCTTTTTAATTAATTAATTTTTTTTTGTTGCTTCAGTTTATAGCAAATGCAGTCGTAAAAAAAAGGATAAGCCTGAAACCCAGGAAGACGCTCACATTTCTCTCAGAAAATTCAGCTAATGCAGGGTAAGAGATTGCATTAAGTTCCACAAGCTAATGGAAGGAAGGCCTGTGGCTGCTGCTCTCTGTCCTATAGAGGAGCTGAGCCCATTTCAGATTAACACGGTGCAGGAACTTTTCTGTCAACACCAATGTTGTCAACTCATATAAAAGTGATTAACTGCATATCCTGTGTCTGTTTCTCCTCTGGCAGAAGGACATCATCTGCACAACAGATGTACATCATGTTGTTGGCTGCAGAAATGTGGATTTGTCTGAAATCAATACAAGAAGGAAATCCTTGTTACTCGGGAAGTCGGTGGATAAATGATCCTAAAACATGTGTCAGAATAAGAACATTTTAGTCAGAATTTGACAAAAGAAAGAAAATCAGATACAAAAACGTCAGAGAAAAACATCTCTACATCAGTTGGTTTTATAATAAATTAGGTTTTACAAAAATACACAGCTGCATATATGGGAAGATAAGAGAGAGAGAGAAAAAAGTTGGAAATATTTTCTTTCAGGTCTGTTAATATGCAAAGCATTACCCTGGAGACATAAAGAGCATTGATATGTGTTGCAGGCTACATGTTGCATGACTGGTTCTTCTTTAAACAAAAAAGTGAATCCTTGTTACAAATCCTAAAGAGAAATAAAAGCAAAACAGAACATCAAATGCTCTTATATTGACATGTAAAGCACAAAAATGCTCCATTAAAATGTAGACATGGTGAATTATTCACTCAGAGGTGAGCAGCCAACATGTTTGCATTTGTTATGACAGTACCATTAAAAAAAAGAAAAAGTTCTTGGTTTGAATGAGCCTGTCAAAGTTATTCAGCCCTTTGACCTACAGATTAACTGTGGCATCAAAGCTTTCAATTGGAAACTATGCTGCTAAAGGACAGCTGGCACTTACACCTTTTCATACTTTGAGCTTTTAAAAGAAGCCAGCAGCTCCTCCATAAGCTTAGGGATTCCAGTCACAGTCAAAAAAGTTGTGTGCTTGTCTCAGTGGTTCTGTTTAGGACTTCAGTTTTGCTTAACGGCTCAAGAATTTTCAGAATAAAGTAAGTTTCTAAGCTTAGGACCTTAAAGACACAGGTTTCTTTGGAAAAGCCTCACAAAGCAGGAATTGCATTGGCAGGTTTTAGGACCTTTGGTGGGCAGCAGATCAGCTCCAGCCAAAATCATGGCCAGTCATCTGGTAGAACTTGAGGTTAAAGGGTCTGTAGAAGTCTCTGAGCCTGAGCAGGACCTCGTTTGATATCAGAGGATGGGCTCTGCCCTTTGACTTCCCCAGGCAGCGTGGCCTGCTGCTGCCCTCGGGCTTCTTCAGGCACGGGAAACCTTTGGTTTGGTTAAAGTAGAAGTGCTTGTCTGTCACCACACGTTTCAGACCCAGAAAGTCTTGGACTCTGCCCATCTCCCCCGCCGGGTCCGTCACAAGACGTTCGCCGCTAACAAAAAGGAAACGTGACAGAGGAAAGTAACGAAGCCAGTTCTCCAGATGCTTGGCATATATGCCAATGCGTATGGCGCTCCAGGATGTGTCGATGAGCCCTGTGGTGGTGTTGCAGAAGGCCAGGCTCTGGAATGATGGGAGCCCGGGCGACTTGGACAGCGTCTGGGTGTAATCAGAAATAGCCCGGGTCACGGGGTCTCGCACCACCACAATGAGTTTAGTATGGCGGCTCATGGAGTGGACACGCCGAGGAGCTTCTTTGGTTATGAAGTAGCTTGGAGTCTTTTCCATGGTGATCTGACCCTCCAGAGTACGAGGCATCAAGTTCCTGTATGAAAAACAAAACGGAAAAAAGCATCTTCAACAAATCTGCAGACAGTCAACATTTCAGCTATGACAGGAGGACTTTATTTTTTTCTATTCATAACATATTATTTTCCTTTTTTCAAGTTTCCAGGTCCTTTTTACTCATCTTTATAGCTTGACAGAAAAATGTGTAAAATAAACTTCACAGAAACGTATTCAACCAAAGCATAATTCCATTTTGGTAATCAAATATTATCACCGTGATCCATATCTATATAAACAGAAAAAAGTTTCATTTCTATGTCAATCTTAATATTGACCAGTGTCTTCAGGAAATGTAGGAAAATAAAATGAGATGAAAGAAAGGGCTACTGTCTTTGCCCCAGTGCTGAGTGATTTTTAGCTGGGGTGAAGATACCTGTAGAAGACGCTGTTTTAAACTGTTTTTGTCTTCTAAAACGATTCTTTAAGGACGAAGAACATTGTTTTGAGGACCAGAATGTTCACATTTTGGACAAAGAAGACGGTTGTTTTGAGAGGGGCGTGAAGGAAGAAATCTATGTTAGGACAGAAAAACCTTAAAAACACTCAGATCTCAGCTTTTAAAAACCTACAATGCAGCGATAGAGTTTATTCCTTCCCGCTATTATCGCAACCCCTCCACCCATACCGGGGAACAGAACACCTGCCTGTTCAGTCAGGCCAACAATTCCCCCTAACGACCCCCCTTTCAGAGATATAGACAGGTATCGGGTATTGCAGGATAGCAAAGAAGCCAAACGACTGTCCATTCCTAAGGGGCGGACTCGTTCGTCCGGTTCAATTTGCATGTTTTCTAAGCCACAACAAGGCTTTTGTTTTTGGTCCACTCTATAAAGCCTTGAACTCTGAACTATTTTTTGACATTTTGAATTGAAACAGCTTCCTGGATGGAAAGAGAAACATCTTCAAACTTGGAAACAATGTCCAGTGGATTGTTTTTTTAAAATTTTTTGGAATGACTATGACCTGGATGACTGGAATCTTCACCAGCCTCTTCCATTTATTTTTTTAAACGTTTTATTGTCATTACACTGTCACAAGTACAGAGCAACCAAATTCACCATTTAATGGGAGCAGTGGGCTGCCATTGTGCGGCACCTGGGGAGCAGTGTGGCGTTAAGGGTTTTTGCTCAGGTACCCAGAGTGGCAGTTTGTGGGAGTGGGGCTCGAACCCAGAACCTTAGAATTTCAAGTGTAAAGCCCTAATCACTATGCCGCCACTCCCCAAAGCAGGCTTTAGCGTGAAGGGTCTTACCTAAGGACCCACACTGGCAGCTCATTCCCCCCAGCTGGGATACGAACCCAGGCCTCCTGTTTGCAGGACAGGTGACGGGCTAGCCAGCAGTCAAGTCATTATAATGGCCTCTGTTTATGACTCCACTACTTCCTGAAGCTCCTTTGGCAGCTTCTTTGTTTCCTGTCTTCCATTATTGGTTAAATTGATTAATCCAGGTGTTCCAGACCATTTTCGTCATGGTTACTGAGGTCAGGCGCACCTGGACAAATCATTTCATCCAGTAGAGAAAGTGAGTTAACTTAACTTCAGGAAGTAGTGTAGTTGGGCATAGAGCCCATGGTTTGCATGATAAGTTAAACGTGTTTGTCGTTTTTAATTTAAACTTAACGTACAACAAACTAGGTTCTCAATTACTATAATTAAATATTGTTGCTTTGAATTGCTAGCATGCAAACAGCTTGTTATAATAGCAATTGGGACTGAATGTGGTTTTTCAAAAGATAATGACCTCCTTATTAAACTGTCTGACGTTAGTCTGAAACTGCTTCGTCATACTGGCGGAGGATGGTAATCCAGTTTTACTGCATTCCTATGAAAACTGAAAGATTTTAACAAGCTATTTGAACAAAGAAGGATGAAAGAAAGACAGTAAAGGGAAGCACTGACTGCTAACAGCAGTGACTTGTTAATTTAGAGAGAGCTTGCAGTTAGCTGTACAGAAGAAAGAAACTTTCAGCCTAGGTGTGTCACTGTTGAATAGAGTGGCCATTTCTACTGCACCAAAACGGAGGACATTATGCAGCATAATAAATTACTAAGGTGCACATAAGAATCTGGTATAATCTCGTTTATAGTACAATTTCAAGGGGTTTAAAGAGGATGCTTGTGTAGCTGAGTAGGAAAAAAATATAAATGAAAAGTTAAAAATACAATGTGGTGGTCAAAAAGGAACAACTGAGATAAGTGCAGAAGGCCACTAAGCATAACCTGTGTGGACTTAAACGTTAAAAAAAAATCTTTTGCAAGTTACATTAATAATAAAAAAAAGCCAAACATTTCATTTAAACAACAATAGAGTTTTTAAAAAACACATTCAACTGCTCAAAAAGTATAGCTTTTTTTTTTTTTTTTTTTTTTTTTTTTTTACAGTGCTTCAGTCTTTTGGGAATTTGTCTTCAGTGGCTGTGTTTGTGCAGCAAACCTGTTTTTATGGTCATCCCTTTAGCTGTGGGAGAGTCACTGAAAATCTCCCGATCCACTTTCACACCACAGTCTACACTTCTGTAGGACTGGTGATGTTTTACAGGATGGTACACCTTGCACAGCTCTGCAGAAGTTATTTTAGCATCTAGGGGCGATGAACCGTCAGGAAAAAAAGCCCTCTTTGAAGAGTTCCCTGTCGCATCTTTGTTACTTTTATGATAATCCCTCCTCGCATGCTGCAATTGCAGCTTTAGCCTCGACAGCTTATGTCCACATCGCAGAAGCCATGTCATTAGTCTCAATTACTTTTGGTTATAAATTCATGTTCTTTTCCATCATAAATTCACGCTCTTTTGTCCATTCAGTGTTAAACCAGGTCTTGCATTTTGGCATAATGCTAACTTTCTGTCAATGTATAACTTAGCAGCATTTTGATCCTTGTTTACTTTTTTAAACAATGACAAGCAGATATTTATCTGACATGGCACCACTCAGCCAATCATCTGTTAGACCAGATAGTCAATGCATTTTTTACATTCTATGATTGGGTACTGTGCAGCAGCCCAGCAAAAATGAATCATAAAGGAGGACAGATACACGTCTGCCTGGATGAGGCGCCAGATGCCGGATTATGCAATGAAAATCTGGACTGTCCGGCCTAAAATCTGGCCACACTACTTTGAACAAGATACAATAAACACCATTGACTCCCACTAAAATCAAATACTTTTTAAAAAAATCAAAAACCTATATTATAAGATAAAAAAATTATTTTATAAGAGGTGGTGACACTCTCCTTGGACGCATTTTTACGGCTAAGCTGCCAGTTTACTCCTTTCTTACTTCATTATATGTTGTTAAATAAACCATTTGTGTTTGTGTCAGTGAATTCAAAATTAAAAAAAATGGTGTATCAGTTTATTCTTCTTTATATTTAATGTTTTTAAACTAAATTATGGAGATAAATTCTAAATGCTGATCTCACCTCACTGACATCCTCCTGGTATATGGCATTTATAACAGTCACATAACTATGTTCCTTACAACATACAGGTTGGTTGGTTTAGATTATTAAGCAACAAATCATTACTTTATATTGCAGAATTTTTGCGAATTTTTGAAAAGACCCGCCTGCTCCACTTTAAAAAAAAATGCACATGCACGACCCTGTACCCGTTCCCGACAGGGAAGTACTATTAAACACGTGCAAGAGCATGCATTAAACCATTTTTCCTCGTACACGCTTTGTTTAAATGTTGCAGTTTGCATTGCTCATACAAGCTTACTTTCCAAAAGAAGATTTGCAATTTTTCCACTACGTCAGACTCGTTCTGCAACATACAGCTTAATTTCATACCTGAAAAAGTCTATTATCAAATGACTAAATCTTGTGTAGAAACAGGAAATAAAGCTAATTCAGGGAAAGAAAACTTTTGCTAAGTTCAAAACCTAGCATAATGTGAAAATGGAATATGATAATCTCCGTCTTTTTCTATTAAAACAACCAAAAATACAGCTCCTTCCACTGATTCGTGGCGCGATCCAAGCCATGGAGTAACTTGTAAGCAGTGAAGAATGCCAGAGCTGCAACTTTGAAGGATCCCTCAGCTAATTTCCATGCTTTCTCTTCTCTTCTCAGCAGGCATGTGGTGGCGGTTGGGTCAGAGACTTCGTGGTTGGTGAAGGTCTCATGAAGCTCCGCTTCTCTCTAGCTCTGGTCCAACTTTACAAACTGGCTCCAAGTCCTGCATGTCCTCTGGCATGCAACGCCAAATGCGCAGTCTTGGATGTCCATAAGAAATATTAGAGTAGCATTAGGGGGCTAGAGGGAAGCTAAACGGGGGGAACAGAGAATACCAAACAGGAAAGTTTTGGAAAACAAGAATGTTTCTATGGCTTCGTTCTCTTTAGGGATCTTTTAAAATGTCAGTTTGAGCCAGAGATTATACCTCAACCTGCTGCCCTAAAACCAGGGTTTGAGCTTGTGGATCATGGGCCAACCCTCTGGTTGTCACATGATGTAAGAGGTGATATAGTTTTAAGACATCTGGTTCCTGGAAGAAAGAAGCTTTATGTCTTATTTATAACCATGAAAGCTGCTTTGAAATTTAAGTCCAGTCTTGGATCAAAACTCTTGAAGATATTAAGTGTTGAATTTTTTTTTAATCCTGCTGCTCCTTCAGCTCTGGTGTTCACCTTGTCCTTATGTGTTTTCTGCATCTCTAAGGGCATTTTCCTAATATTTATTAGAGAACATGCTAAAGCAATTACATACTTCCAGTAAGGAAAACAGGAAAAGTTGCATTTTTAAACATATTCTTGGCTACAACACACTTGGAGCCCCTAATATTTGTGCCCCTGGAAGCAGCATCTTTCCTTTCAACAAGCATGGCGTGTTACTGTAAAAAATCAGCATTAGTCCTTCTGTTTATTTTAAGGAATGCAACAAAAATAAGAATAAAAATGAAGCAATATGTTAAAGATTGATTATTAAAGTTTCCTCTGAGAACTTCTGAGTTTTTCTGTGGCTGCAGGGAGTT